TTTGATATTGAGACAATTGATCAAGTTACAAATTATGAATGTGACTTGACAAAGTTGTAACAAAAGTAATGTAAATATGCTTAGACTCCGAAAATATTCTCTCAGTTGCAACTTAAATATCGACTTTTTTTAAAGGAGGAATAAATCGAATGACTGCTCCCGCCTGGGTGAGGCGACTGTCATACTCTTACTGACTAAAATCCACCCCGTTCCTTCTCCTGCACGTCGAGCCGGAGCCCCGGTAACCCGTTAGGTTCTCCGCGACAAATATCGAAGGCTAAATTGTAAATGAGATAGCGTGATAACATACACTCATATCATCGAATCCGTACTTCAAGTCCTTGACATACTTATGTCATATATGCACGTATACAGTTGTTTGTTATGTAAATGAATCTAGATGGAAAACGAATTTGCAAAATGATTTTATTAAATAATAGCAGACCAGCGTTTGCTGTGACTTTGCGTTTGAACAAGAATTGGGTACTTTCCTTAATTAAAAATAAATTATTTCGACTGTTCAATACATTGAAATATTAAAAAATCACTATCTATAAAACTTAATCACACTTACATATTATAAAGTTTCTTTGTTTGGATGTTTGTCCGTCAATCACGCTGAAACTACTGAACGGATTTTGATGAAATTTGGTTAGTAAACAGGCAGGGTATGGGCTCGCTTAGGTGATAGGATACTTTTTATACCGATTAAATTCTCCCATAGAATAAAACAGGAACCATATTATACACGGACGAAATCCATATTTATAATACTTTCAAACCGCCATAGCATCTATTACAAGTATATAAATTTCTCTGGAACTCCAGTACCGTACAAAGTTGTACACTAAAACACTTTAATTATCCAGTCATTACTTCACTAATTTGAATACTTACAGCCCTAGATACGGGGCACAATTCCAGACTCCGTGCAGCTACTGAGAATTTTTTTAAAAAACCCAGCCACGGAGAACTTAATGGGTTACCTGGACTCCGGCTCGACGTGCAGGAGAAGGAACGGGGTGGTTTTTAGTCAGTAAGAGTCTGACACTCCCTCCCGCCTCACCCAGGTGAAAAGCCATTCGATGATTTTCCCCCCTTAACAAAAAAAATGGTCTCCTGTTAGGACAAAATAAAAAAAATACGTATCTAATATGTTTCCGTTACCTAACTGGCGGACCTAATTAGATTTATAATGGTCATACTCCGTCATCATCTCTATACAGACACTCATTTTCACACAAAGAAATGGTATTTATACACTGCATATAGTGTCGTAGTCTATTCGTACCTAAGCGAAACTGATTCTGTGGCGGTAACGACTCGCCCGCGGCTTGACATTAAGCTACTTCAATTACAAACAAATTAGCATCGCTAACTGTAGGGCTGCCTCTAATTTTAGGCGGAGACTCATTACATTACCTAGTTGATATAACTATAACATAACTATTTTGTAGGTCCCGAGCGTCCGGCGCGTCGCGTTCTGCGCGCCTCAAAGAGCCATCAGACCACCACAGATGGGGCCCAATAGCGCTGATACCAATACGGAGCCGCGGAAGGCCTTACGGGTTACCGAAGCTCCGGCTCGAGAATAGAAAATATTAACGGGGTGGTTTGTAGTCAGTAAGAGTCTGACACTCCCTCTCCCTTACCCAAGGCGGGAGAAGTCGTTGGATGATTTTTCCCCCTCAAAAAAAAAACTATAGTGTAGATTACTAATTTTTATTTTAATGTCCATACGTGCATACGTACATACATAACCTCACGCATGTCTTCCGTGGAGGTAGATAGAGACTATGGAACGCCAATTGCTACGATGTCCATCTGGTATATTATTTTAAAATATGAGACACGGATTTTTATTTTTTTAGGGCCGATTTTTCCAACGCTTCCATCTTTCCATCTTTGGCATGCCGTTTTCATCTGTATGCCATAGCAATTAAGATTTATTTTAAATTGATTTATTGTCAGTATCTTCGCGCCTCCGTCGGTGTGCGTAGGGGCTTTCAGCCTACAGACCTACTCAAGAAGAATTTTCTAAAAACCACGAATGTGAAGCCGCATGAGGAAAAACCTGTTTTTTCTACAAAAATATATCCGCAAGTGTTATAAAATTGGCAATATTTTACATAGAAACGCTTCTGTCGTATTCCCATTCAGTAGTATAGCGGTTTGGTGTCTCAATCACTTAGTGAACTCGATCGATTCATTCCCCAGGGCGGTCTGAAATGGATCAGACGCGGTTCACAATAGTGTTCCTTGAAAAGCCTGAATACGTTCCTTTTTGCAAATATTTGTATATTTATTTTAATTTTGGTACTCAATAAGGCACCTAAATTAAATTGAGATCTTGTTTAATTAGACCAGATACACATATAGAAAGATACTAAGTATATTTCATTATTTTCGACTGCACGGTTGGTGCGGTGGCTGGGCAACCGGCTGCCGTGCAACGTGTCGCGGGTTCGATTCCCGCACGGAACAACACTTTGTGTGATCCACAAATTGTTTTTTCGGGTCTGGGTGTTATTGTGTATGTGAACTTGTATGTTTGTAAACGAACCCACGACACAGGAGAAAATCCTAGTGTGGGGCCAAGTTTTTAAAAAAAAATATATATATTTACTCTTTTGTATACAAATACCTATGTATAACATATGATGGCGGACTTCATACCGGGTGGCATTCTCTAACAATCATAGGTTGATATCATAATCAATTTATATGAGACAAAATAATTATATATTATGTATGTATGTACATATTTTGTTTAGTATTCATTAATATTGTTATATTAACCCGTCGTGTGCCGGAACGCAGATCCACGCAAGAGACAATATATTTTCTATTGTGTCTTGTATACTGGCAATCAAGAGGTTAATATATCGGGTTAATGTGGTGTTTTGAATACATAAATAACCGGGTCTTACACCTATTTGTAAAATCCTGATGTTTTAAAGCGAAATTTTGTACGTTCATTACACAATCATGTCAAAGTCAAAGTCAAAGCATTTATTTCAATTAAACCATAGTTTGGTAATTTTGAAACGTCAACAAATACAAAATAAATAATAGTCTGTCAGTCAGTCCGTCAGTGAAACTAGGTGAAGCTAGGTGTCAAAACGGCTGAAGGCATCGGTCGGGATGAAATTTGTCACAAGGCAAGGGTAGGTCTGAAATACCACTTAAACTACTTTATATCGCTCAGGAACGCTAATGAAGTCGCAGACTGAAGACATAACATGACATCAAATATAACATAACATCACGCCTTTTATCCCCGAAGGGGTAGGCAGAGCTGCATATTACGGCACTTAATGCCACTGTACAATGTAACACCCACTTGTCACTATTTATGTTATTGGGGGAGTATTAGGGGGTGAGCCTATTGCAATATACCGGGCACATTTCCAGACTCCGTGCTACTACTGATATTTTTAAAAACCCAGTAATACTTTGCCCGACTCGAGAATCGAACCCGAGACCCCTTGCCCGGCAGTGGCACTGACGACCAGTCGGCCAACGAGGCAGTAATATTATATAATAGGTTTTTTTTTATTCTATTACATTTCTAATTCTCCACGGACTGTTGTCCGTGTCCTTGTCATTCAATTACATTTTCTATTATTTTACAGTCAAAATTAATTGTTACAAAAATCTTATTATAGAGGTATATAATAGGTTTGAAACCTTGGGCATGTATAGATGGATACATAGATATTGCATGCAATCAGTGAGCATAACCTTTGAAAAAGGGCCAATAACGAAATCCTTTGGAAGTGCGGAATTAATCCGAAACCCCTTTGTGAAGTTTTCGGGACGCCGCGCCGGCAAAACTCAGAAATTAGATTTGACTTAAATTAGACTCCGCCAACGTAAATATAATTCAAGAACGATCATATACTTAAGCATATTTTTTTTATTCGTTGATTTAGTAATCTTTATTTCATTTTATGATTGGTATGAGTAATCTATGTCGGGTATTTTTCTGATCTTATTTCTTTTAGGAGCATTGAATTCAAGAGTCGTTTGATCAAATCAAACGACACTTGAATTCAAACGCACTCCACGCAAACATATTTGTTTTTTAAAACAAAAATGTAAATAAAATAATTGTCTAGCTGACATTTTAGAATTATACAAACAATGGTGTTATTTGGATAAAAAACTGATTATTTTCTTGTATAATTAACTTATTCTGTTCTTTCTTATACCAGGTGTTGTTTTAAAGCTGCGTCATTTTCTAGGAGGTAACTCGGATTCTGAGTCCGAATCAATAAAAAAATTGTAGGTAGTAAGTGTCGTAAGTGCGAAGTACACGCCGCCGTCTTGTAACTAGCTTTATAACGCGACTTAACACACACAAACTCAAACACGTAATTGATATTATTCCTATTCCGTTAAACTCCAATAAGAAACATTGCTATCGCTTCAGAAATACTGTCGAACTTAAACGATTTATTATAGCCGTATTTTTAACTATTGGCCCGAAATTTTCTCTTACATTGAACCTTTATGACTTCTGTGACATGCCCCCGAGAAATGACACGGTTTCAAAACTACACCTTGTATTTATATATTTATATTATATACGATAACTATATATTTATATATATATATTTACTTGTAGAACTAATACTTAAAATGGGAACAATCGATAAGAATATATCAATATCACGCATGGTTAGTTAGTGCTTTTCTTATCATTGAATATCATTGAACATACTTCGGCTATCTAAAAATGTTTCTTTTTTCATTATTCCTTTCTAACAAATATCTTTCAAGTTCCCGACCCGTGGACCAATTCGACACTATACTATAATAAAAAATCATATACATAGCATATTTTTCCTTCCTTGTAGATATTTCATCGTATAACTAATTTATCATGATCTCGTTTCGTATGATTTTTCCAAGCGTTCAACAGTCAGTTTATACTGGTTATAATAACTCGATACGTAGCCGTGGATACAAAATCGTAAATAGCGTCATTATTCCGCGAGTGGTCTAACCGTTCTAACGTGCACATAAAAAGTTTTTATCGTCAAAAATAAAGTAACACATTATTTTCAAAACTTAATAATACAAATAGATCATTGTGTATTAACATATAAATATGAAACTGTTGTCCGTTTTGTTGCTCGTGGTGGCGCTATTCTCTGCGCTGGCGCATGCCGTGCCCATCATACCGTTCAAGCCCGCAGAATGCCCGTACGGGTACAAATATGATTCCAACGGGAATTGCTATTGTCACAGGTAATTAACCCACACTATACATTTTATTTGTGTCGTGAGTCCAATATACAACATTAAATTCACATACACATCTCGCTTGGAATAATAGCAATCCCGAATCACGCAAGCAATTGTTCCTTGCTGGATCGAACCTGCGTTTAGTGTCTGGCCACTGCGCCAACCGTACAGTCTAACTATTTTAGTATTTATTGACTGACTCGTTTATCTTTACTTATATTTTAAAGTGAAAGGTATGTTTGTTTGTTTGTCTGTCTTCCGAGATGCAAAGGAATCGAGCGTGTTTTTTTTTATTTATGAAATAAGATCCAAATAAGCAGACGGATATCTTAATCACCGCCGATCACCGCCCATGTTTTAATCCTTACAAAATATTAAAATTAATAATTCTTCTTCTCTTTTACGTTTCAGACCCAACGTTTGCGGCGGATCCAAATGAGAAGCAACGCAGACAGAATATAAAGTCATATTAATTAATAAACTTGTTTGATACAACCGCTTATTATTTACCTGTTAACTAATGACACAGAATTTTTTCTTGATAAATTGAAAATTCCATTCATAACGAAATATGTCTCGATGTGTAATATTGACAGCATGCTTGACGCTATGGCTGCCACATAACGTGTAGGGGGTTTGATTCTCGCACAGAGCAACTCTTTGTATGACCTACAAATTGTTGTTTCAGGTCTTTCAAATTGTATGTAAACACACCCACAACACAGGAGAAACATCTATTGTGAAACGTGGCCCCATGTTTTAAGATAAAATTGTCCGATACTATATCGATCATTATATATTCAGCGTCATAAATGACTAATAATGGCTGGTCTGGCAAGTTTTGAATTGCAATTTGCTAATAAATAACTTGACATCTAGTCAAAAGAACAGGTTTAGCAAGAATACTCGAATCTTCATTGAAGTTATGTAATACGTTAGAGATGTCCTGACCTATAGCTAGGTACAACTAGGCTGGGAGAGCCATGCATCGGCACGAATAAGCTGGCTTGACCAGAGTGATACCACAGCCTCACAGAAAACTGACTTTGACAACGCTAGCGGTGTGTTTCGTCGTGTGAGTGAGGTTACCGGAGGCCCAATTCCTCCCCTCCTTCCCCAATCTTCCCAATCCCTAATCGATAATCCCTTAATCTCCAACAATCCCACAAATTCCTAATCCCCAAAAGGCCGGTAACGCACTTGTAACGCCTGTGGTGTGTTCCGGATGTCCATGGGCAACGCCCATTGCTTACCATCAGGTAATCCGTCTGCTCGTTTACCGGCTTTTCCCGTAAAAAAGGTAGTATAATGAAATAATGTAACATAGCTACAAGTAGCTAAAATAAATTAAGGAGAAGTACTCAAGTGGATACTATATTTAGAAGCTTTATCTGAATTGAAAATATAGTTTATATGCATTTAGGTAAGATATTGAATCACATTTTTTTTATAACAATCATAATAAAGGGCACCTAGTCCCATAGTCTAGCAATGGGTAACCATGAGATGTTGATAACAATAAAGATTTATTATTTTGTGAAATTGTTCTAAATGTGGTAAATAAATAAAAAACAATTTTCTACGAAAACATTTAATGAATTATTCCACGTTAATAATTAACGACATTTTAATATATGCTTTGTCAAGTACTCAGAGCTTAATAAAGAATTATTACAATCGTACTGTCACCTCTTTTAACTGGAACCCGAACATGCTTCATCACTAGAAAAAAGAAAAAAAATATGATTATAATATATTCCATTGTGTGGTCCTAGCGTTCTGATGCGCACATTTTTTTTTCTTCTTGATACAAGTGTTAATTAAGTAGTAACAGCGACATATTGAGCTTACTTAAATTAAAATTTTCTTTATACATAACATTAAAATATCCGGTTCTCTTAAACCCGAAGAGGTCATTCATTTTTCACCAGTTATATCATATGTCCCATGTAGTAACCCGGATGATCCCATTGCTGTAAACCGAATTCCAATTCAGGCTTCGTATTGTTACTGAGATTGTCGATATATTCCTAAAATCCTAAAATACTTTGACAACCTGCGAATTGAGCTTAACCCCTTTTGCTTGTCGCGGAGAACCTAACGGGTAACCGGGGCTCCGACTCGACGTGCAGGAGAAGGAACGGGGTGGTTTTTAGTCAGTAAGAGTCTGACACTCCCTCCCGTCTCACCCAGGCGGGAGCAGTCATTCGATGATGTTCCCCCCTTAAAAAAAACCCCTTTTGCTTACCAGAAAATATGATACGTTGTAATAGGTTTGACTTGAAGCCTGGCGGATAGTGACAGCAGAGTAAACAATATTTCTTACCACTCTTACTCTTCTCTTGGGCCATCAACGCCCTGTTCTCGTCCATTATTGAACATAGGCTCAGTGGTGTGTCATTGGAGAGCCAATGACACGCCACTGAGCTTGATCTTCAGCTCTACGCATCCAACCACTAGCAACCACTTTGCGGATATCGTCACTCCACATAGCTGGAGCGCACTCTACACTACGTTTTCCTAATGACGTGCTATATGTCGTATGAGTAGACTAAGATATTTAACAGAGACCAAGCAATAGCACTCTCTTATGAAACTGGTCCTTCTAAACTGGGGTCTCCAACCCGCCAGCCAAGCGTGGAGATTATGGTCAGCCTCTCTTTTGTAATAGTCCAGCGATACTCTCGCGGGCTATAGATGTAACTAGCTTCTGCCCGCGGCTTCCACGCGTTTCCGTGCGACAGAGAGAGAGAACTATATGTTATCTCAGACCATTACCTACTCCCGTTTTAAATTTCAACCTGATCCCTTCAGGCGTTTTGTAATCAAGTAATAAACATAAGCACAAACATACAAACTTTTGCATCTATAACATTAGTAAGATGATAATGTAAGTCTTACCTATAGCAATGGCATTGACAATCAGCCCCCAAAACGTGTCCTGGCGGGCACTCTTGCGGCTTGAATGGTATAATGGGCACAGCATGCGCCAGCGCAATGAACAGTACCACCACGAGCAACAATACCGACAACAGCTTCATATTAAAAAGTTGGTGCACAAAGATTTATAATTATATTCAAAGATCATATAACAATATTCGAATTGTATAACAGTCAAAATTTTTTATTTCTATGTGCGCGTGAGAACGACTTGACCACTCGCGGAATAATAATGCGATTTAGTAAAGGCACTAATTTATTAAACAATCTATTAAAACAAATAAACAACTTGTCCTTCTTGTGTGTTTTGCATGTTGCTGTATTAATTTACCTACAATCTACGTTAATTGCATCATCTATAGTATTATATTTTAAAAAATATTAAGATTACATGATTTAAACATGGGACTCGTAACAAAAGTAGTGAAAATTGGTGTACAGTGGCATTAAGTGCCGAAATGTGCACCTCTGCCTCAAATCCTCAAATCCCTAATCCCAAAAGGCCGGTAACGCACTAGTACCGACACAGGTATCCCAGGTGTCCATGGGCGTCGCCGATTGCTTACCATCAGGTGATCCGCCTGCTCGTTTACCGGCTAATCCGAAAAAAAAATCCAATTTAAAATCAAAATTTAAATTACCTCTATAATGTCAATAAATTAAGTTGGTTTATCAAGAATTGACCACCAGGATAAAACTACATTTAATATACATACTAGCTTTTGCCCGCGACTTCGTTCGCGTGGAATAGTGACTTCCGGCAGATTTTTGGTTTTACCCACATAGTTCCGGATCTCTTCAAAAATGAAATGTGGAAGATATTCTAGGGAACTCTTCAAAAATCAACATAATGAGCTCTGCGTTTGAATTGAAGGTATATATATACTCACTTAGGGCATTAAAGCCGTTATTGCCGTTCGAAAAAGGCGAAAATGTTGTTATTCCCTTATTTTCAAAATATTATTTTGATTTGCCATTTCAGAAAAAAAGACTGTCTCCCTTGACAAATTACCTAATCCCTTAACAACCAAGCTTAAATCTATAATTAACTTAAAACTATATAAAAGAACGATCTAATTAATTTAAAAATTAAAATGAATTTAGACATACAATTTTAGTATCTACTAATAATCAAGATCAAACTAAACATACATTTTACAACAACCAGACAACCCAACAAATAAACCTTTTAATCTACTATTACGACGGAACCAATTTTAGATTTACGAAACGATCAATCCTCAATTCCACGACAGTACCGAAGCATTCGGCCGATAC